AAAATTAATTTATTTTTCTAAAATAAATTAAGAAAGTCTCTGAATTCCTTTTATAAAGATAATACACTGGGTAATACAAAAAACTGGGCCAGCCAAATAGCTCAGTGCACAGGCGCAGGGGCAGGGAGTTCAACCCCTGCGCCTGGGCAGCCATGCTGGCCCTGGCCCTGCCCCTGGGTGTGCTGAGACAGCAATTGAGACTGGGCGTGGTCGTATGTGCCTGTAACCCCTGCTCTTGGGAGACTGTAAACAGGCAGATCTTTAGGAGTCCAATGTAGTAGTGAGACCCTGAACACCCTATAGACCCTTCCCTAAAAAAAATATAAAAGAAAAAAAAATATATACCAAAAGACTCTTCCTTTTAAGTATGAACATTATCTCAATTAAATCTCACCATGATGTTTGTAACAAATAGATACCATTTCTTAGTTCACAAAGTTATTTTAGTTTTAGAAAAATAAATTAACAGAAAAACCCACTAAATTAAGTAGATCAGCTTCACTTTTAATACAGAACTTCAAGCAATCTTTTATTATTTCTAAAGGCCACTAATTTTTGAAAGATAAACTCTTTTTTCAAATCATTAAACTCATTTTTTTTCCTGAAAATATTAAATCGATAGCAGGTGGGCTTAATAATTTTCCCCTGTGGCTTTTTCTCATTAAACTCACTATAAATCATTTATCCTATAATTGTATAATGCTTCTTCTTACACAGTATTATGGGGACATTACTAGATTTTATATTTGCCATGAACACAGTTGTATAATACCATATCTGAAGTCTATTCATTTCTGAACTCAACTGTTGATATGACATAGTAGGAGAACATCTCCACCAGTCTATGGGTGAAAACATTATTTGAAACAGACTTACCTAATATTTGTGTGGGGTTTGCTTGGTCAAAAGTGACAGCCTCTTTTTTAGGGAAATAAATATTCACTGATTTAGATCCAGCCGACTGGTAGGCATTCTTCCCTATTTACAGAATACAAGATTATGAAAGTTATGATGAGATTTTTCTAATAGTGTAACTTTGTTTTCGTAAAATTATTGGTACACGCCACTACTTGGTGCATGCATACAATAAAAAGAACATGAAATCTTAAAAAAAAGAGGCAAGGAAAACAAATCATCTGTAAGAGTTTAGATACTAGTAGTTCATATTTACTGATATCTTAGTATCTTATGAAAAACCCAGCATGAGATAAAAATTCAGTAATATTTAATGGGATACAGCAACTTTAAAATGCTAATTTATATATAATACTTTCTAATTCAAATCTTTTTGCTCTAATGTAAAATTAAGGTGTTTTGCAAAAATAGGAATTAAAAAATTATTTTAATATAAGGATTATCTTAGAGAGGGGCAAAGGTAGATACAGAAGAAACAAAAACCATATGAAATATTTATACAACATAAAATATTTACTAACATGGCCAAAAATTAGCTATACAGACACTGCCAGCCATCCTGGTTGTTACAGTCTATAGTTCTTTTTTTTTTTTTTTGGCTACTGGCGATCAAACAGGACCTTGCGCTTGCTAGGAAGCTTATGATGCTGAGCTATTCCCCAGCCCTAGTCTATAGTCATTTTAATACAAATAATCAAATATTCAAAAAAAGTACTATACAAGGAAAAGTTCTCTAAAGAAAATTATAGACACAATGATAACTCATGACTGAGTGGGTGTTTAGGCAAACAACATATATGGATGATCAAAAAAGGTTTGCTGAGGGCTAGGCACTCAGCAGCCTAAGCACTAGCCTGGCAAGTGCAAGGTGCTGAGTTTGATCCTCAGCACAGGGTAGGAGGTATTGTTTGCTGAGTTCGTTTAATAAATACTGTATATAAAATTTAAATTAAAAGAGGAGCAAGGGGGCAAGCAATGAGAGTGAGCAATGCCAACCAATAACCTGCTGTTTAAGCAACAAAAAAAAGCATAAGCAAAACAAAGAAGAACAGTGGGCTCAAAGCTCCTAAGGTTGTACTGGGGAGAGAACTTGGTGGTCTAAGCATCTGCCTGACAAGCACAAGGACTCAGGTTCAATTCCCTGTACCGCATGCTGTGCTGGCCCCCTATAAGAGGATCACTACAAGTCTGAGCTGTGTAGCCAGACCATGTACCAAATAAAGAAAGAAAGAAAGAAATAATGAAAAAAATTAAAACAGTATATCATGCTCAAGAAACTGACACAAGCCTGCATGGCTAGACAGAAGAAAGACAGGGTTGTCATTTGAGAGTGTTTTTTTAATAAGGGGGAAGATAAACACAATAAACTATAAAAAGATCCCTGGCTGTTCTATGTACCATGGAGAGACCAATTTGGAAACTAATTACTTCACTGACTTAGGACAGAGATAATGAGCTTAGACTAAGGTACACACAAGTTTAGTATAGTATAGTATATATAGAAACTTCTGGAAAATGGAGAGTACTGTTATCTTTAATCTCTCACCCCACCTTCTCCACATGGGACCTGAACTCAAAGAACATATACCCCAGCCCTTTTTTTATTTTGAGACAAGGTTTCAGCAAATTATCCAGGCAGTGCTCAAATTCTCCTGCCTCAGCCTCCCAAAGTTCAAGAACTACAGGTATGTGTGCCACTATGCTGGGCCAGTGAACAGCAATCTTGACGCATGAAAAAAAAAAAAAAAAAAAAAAATGAAGTAAAGATTGGAATAAACAGATTTTGCAGGGGTACTTTGGGACCAGACTTTAACACTAATAAACAGTAGCTTTTCATTCTGGTTGGAGATTAGAATCATAGTGGAAGATTATACTACTCTTGTCAAGATCCCAATATAAAGCAATAGTTACCAGTGACCACTTTTATAAATCTTCTGGAGATATGGTTTGAGCCTACTTTAATTAAGTTCCCTAGAGTCTAATGTGCAATAACATGGCAATTTTGAGGAAATTCTAAAAGTCAAACCAAGAAATTTATTTACTATGAAATGTAAGCAAGACAACACCAATTTTATTTTCATGAAATAAGTTTCAATGAATTTTAAAAATCTAAAAGAGAAGAAAACTATGTACCTGTAAATGGATCAACTCCAGTCATGAGAGTGCCTGTGTTTGAAGAACCTGGGACGTAACGACCAGCACCTACAAGGCAACAACACTCCTAGTAAGCAAGACACAGATCACAAAGTTGAAAACCTTCCTTCTTAATAAACATTAGATGGTTTATAGAGTATAAGTATAAAGTTAGTACGGTACAAAAGTGTAAGTGGACTGCAGAGAAAGGTTCCCATAATGAAATGTGAACCCTTTTCTACTAAAATAAAAAGACTAGGTGCTAGTATAACATAACCAGGTAAGATATGGATGAAAGTTAAGAGTGCTATGACAACAGCTCAGTCACATTCCACATCAGGCTGTGGCCATCTTAATTGAATAGAAAAAAGAAAAAAAAATACGAAAAATAAGTGGCAAGACAATGCATCAGAGTGCTGAAGATATTCGAAAGCCTGGATCTGCCCCTCAAAGAATAAGAGGTACAGTTTATGCCAAGTTGATATAATCTAGGAGTTGATATGACTGGTGCAGTACACACAGAAAAGGCAAAAAAAAAAAAAAAAGAAAAATCTAAAAACCAATAATGTAAATAGGAGTAATTAAAACAATGACTGCTAAGCACTTTTTTTTTTTTTTTTAATTTTTAAGAAAATCTTTTAGGGGCCAGGGTGACAGCTCAGTGGAATAAGTGTTTGCCTGGCAAGTGCAAGATCCTGAGTTTGATCCCTGGTACCACAAAAAACAACAACAAAAATCTTCTATTTATTTGGTATAGGGTCTCACTACACAGGTCGGAATCATAGTGATAGTGTGCCACCATGCCCAGTCTTAGCACGGGGTACCAGGATTGAAATAAGGTCCTTGTGCTTGCCAGGCCGGTGTTTAGGCCACAAAGCTATCTATCTCCCCAGCCCCTAAGCATTTTAAATACACAAGTTCATTAAAGTACTATCTAGGTAGATTTCTAATTCAGAACAGTGTAGAAAAGGAAGGAAATAACTTATCTAAGGCATTAACCTGTTAAAAGGCAGGGTCCAGCCTTACACTTTTCTAAATATGTTCTCTGCCTCCTTGAATGACAGTAATCTATTTTATATGCAAATTTTTGCCTATACATAACCCAGTTGTATTATAAGTCAGCTACACTTTAGGAAACTTTAAAGTAGTAAACTAAGTCTAAAATCATTTTATCAGCATCACTGAATAAGAACTCAGACCACAGGTATTATTAACCTCCTCTTCAACCTAGTGAATCAGAATCTCTAGGATAGAACATTGGGATATGTCCATTTAAACATGCTTGCAGTGTCACTGCAACTGATACTGTAAATTCAAGTACTACATATAAGAGGACTGGGGAGACAACTCAGCAATCTAAGCACCTGCCTGGCAAGCACAAGGACCCGGGTTCAATTATTAGTACCACACACTGTGCCAGCCACTGAAACCAGGTGTGGTGGTGCAAACCTGTACTCCCAGAGCTGGGGAGTCTTGAGACAAGAGGATCACTATGAGTCCAAGCTGTGTAGCAAGACTCTGTACCACATAAATAAGAGATTTTAAATAAAAGAATGAAGGTAGACTTAAGATATAAGTCAGGTGGGGAAATCTTTTGGTCCCATTGCTATTAGAGTTGGGAGGTCAACATTAACAATAATGACAGCTGATACATATTTACAGCTTCAATATATTCTAGTCATTTTACTAAACATTTTCTTTTTTATGTATTTTAGTACTGGGTCTATAGGGTCTCACTACACAGATCGGACTCATAGTGATCCTCCTGTTTTCAGCCTCCCAAGCACTGGGATTACAGGCACACCACTCCCTGTGTGCCCTGGGGGCAGGGCAGGCATGGCAGCTGGGTTCCTGAGTGTGGCTAAGCAGGCACTTTAGTTCACTGAGCTATCTGGCCAGCCTTTAAACACTTTCAAAATATTTTACCATTTAATTTTCCTATCTCAGTATGGTAGGTGCCATTATCTATTTCTTATACAAGTATAGTTTAGTAATCTAATGATATCATAGTTCTCTTAGACAGCATGCTATTTCATATATCCACATAATCATTGCATCTTCAGAAATGATATCATACAGCAATAAGTTATGATTGGTTATGATGGCCCCTGGAACTCTCTAGGTTTTGTTGGTACTGGTTGAAGCCTGGTATGTTCTTTGTGATCCAGAAAAGAGTTACCAATGACATTTGGAATTCTACTGGAGTAAGTTTAACAATACCTGTGGTCTGAGTTCTCATTCAGTAGTTCTGGTGCTGTTAGGAAGGGGCCTGTTTTGAAAAGGTAGATCACTTGGAGTGTGGCCCAGAAGGGTATATTCTTGTTCCTAGCTTCTCCCTTCTCTGTTTCCTATTTGCTAAGCAGTAAAGAGCTTTCCTTCACCAATCCACTTTGCCATGGTGCCAGCATACCACGAACTGAATCCACTGAAATGGTAAATCTAAATACCACGTTTCTAAAGTGGTTGGGTATCATATGTACTAGCAATGGGAAAGTTTATTATTAATATTAGTATTATTTAAAGCTGTGTCAGCCCAATCAATGACGAAGAGAAATCGTAGTTTGACATTTTTATAGGTTATACTATCAAATTTGCTAGTACAGTGGATTTTCTAAAGGCTAGAAATCTCTTCCTAAACTGAGTATATTGTCCAGATACTCTGCCTGAAGATCCAACAGTATCACAAAAGACAGCAAGAGCCACTCTGAAAATGTAAACTTCTTCAGCTGCATTGAAGTCTAACTGTGGTGATTGTTCCCCAACACCATTGATTCTGAGGCTTGCATACCTCAGTAAGTATTAATTCAATTCTGAAGGCTCCAGAAAGTCATTAATTACTTGAATTAGGAAGAATAATTTTGGGGAGCTGGGTATAATGTCTCCTTGCATGCTAAGTCAAAATATGACTGGACAGATGTCTTGACCGCACTGTTCCATCCAATACCAAGGACCCACATGGCTTTTTCTCTGCTTGTGACTGGTAGTATCTCACTAACAATAGTCCTCATGCTGTGTCTTGGTAAGTGGATTTCCTAATAATCTAATTTCAGACAGCATAAAAATAGGCTCAGATGAGTTAAATAACTTGCCAACTTTTTATAGCAAATAAGTGGGAGAGCCATGCTTTGAATCAAGGTCTGTCTGACTCTAAAACCTATACTGTTAACTACTATGCTTCCCTGAAAGAAGAATGACAAGATCTAATAATATGCCATTTAAAAGTCATGACAAAAATCAACAAAAGTGCTCTAGGAAAAGGCAAAACTTACAAGCTGAAGAAAAAGACATTGATTAGGACTGAAAATATAGATTAGGAGAATTATTAGTTACTAAATTAGTATCTTTAAAATATAAAGGCATATAATGCAAAATCTTATCTAATGAAGAATGTATTAATCAAAAGTGTATCTCACCTGTAAAAGGGTCTGCTGTTGGCAATGTACTGGAAGATCCTGAAGAGCCTGGTACATATCGACCACCACCTACACATGCAAAACACAGGAAAAGCTAAAGTATACCACGACTCTGAATTTCATAAACAGCACAATGCTTACACCAGAAAAATCTAAGCTTATAAAAAAACTGAAGAGCAAGGTGTCACATGATAGGCCAGAAATTATAGTCGAAAGCATAGCTAGAAAAAACTAAAATTTCAGTGATTCTCTAAGTTTTTTTTTCAATGCTTTACTTAAGCCCAGCATATAATTGTAAGAGTAACTGACACAAAAAATAAAGAAAACTGCAGGTGATCTCTGACCTAATGATACATATATACAACTAATTCCAATCCCTGTTCCTACAGAAATTCACAAGAATTCCTGCTGTGTAGCCGCTGTCAAAACCACAGCATTCAATGTTAACATTTTTAAAAAGTCCTACTTCATTAATTCATGTGTGAAACATGACACCCAGTGGTAGGGATTCAGCAGGAACAAAATTCCTTGTATCTAATGAAGCTTTCAATCTACTGGAGAAAAAGAGTTGCGAAGAGGACGAGTACTGTAAAGGGAACATATTTCTTTCTATACATTTATAAGAGTGAGAACATGATGTGTGACAATTTGTTGAACCTATATGGAAATAACCAGGGTCATCCTCAAAACAGTATGTAAGGGGTTGGCCAAACAGCTCAGCACCTCTGGGGTGTGCTGAGGCAGCAACTGAGACTGGGCGTGGTGGCACAAGTCTGTAATCCCAGCTCTTGGGAGGCTGTAAACAGGCGGGTCACTAAGAGAACAATCTAGTAGCAAGATTCTGAGCAGCCTGTAGACCCTTCCCTAAAAATACAAAAAAAAAAGAAACAAAAACAAAAAACAACCCAGTGTGTAAGGATGCACATAAACTTAAGGCTTCAAAAAGCAGAAAAGCCCAGTAGTTGTTAGCTTTCCAGACAGAGCCCTTGATCCCACAATAGTTTGTACAGCACAACAACATGTGCTCATTCTTGTTCTGAGTCTCAAATTCTAACACCAGAAATATTCAACAGAAATGTATAGGTATTCAGTATTTAATTTTCTTTCCTTTTTTGATGAATCACTAGTATTTAGAGTATTTAAAATTTTTACTTGGACCAATTTTATATGATAACAGGTGTAATTTGAGCAACTATATTGAAGATAGCAATGTGTAATATAAAAACCACTGTTGAATACCTTTCAGTTTTTTAAAAATGATATCACTTTTAATGTCCTATTATTTTTATATACTTTCTTTAAAATAAATTTTAGAAAATAAAAAGGACAAGGAAAAAATTAAGATTTATTGAAAGGAAAAATTAATGTTCAATTGATCGATCAGTCATGTATGCCTATACCTGGTAAACTGAGCAATACTTTGAGATAATTTGTTATATGTATTTTGACAAATAGTTAATTTTCTATTCTTGTTTTGAAATTCTGTAAAATTTTTATTGTTTTAGTTTGATTTTTGCCTATGTTCTTATTTTTTTCCCCCTTTAGATTTTTTTTTTTTTTTTGTTAGAACCAGGGATTCAATTTAAGAGGCCCTTAGCTTGCCAGGGAAGCGCTTATTCCACTGAGCCATCTCCCCAGCCCCAAATGGTAGAAGGGGTTTTTTTTTTTTTTGGAGGCTCGAAATGCCTTTAGGGCATTTCTGGTTTGCAGTGACTGTCTGGGTTGGAACCCCAGAAGCTTGAGCTTGAGGGCTTTGCTTAAGCAGGCACTTAAACAACTGAGCTACTGGGCAGGTCCCCGTGAATTACTTTAATAATTCTGTTTAAATCAATATGTGAGCTAAATTAGATTCATTATGTGAATGGGCAGTAGCACTGTGAACTAGACAGGGATGATCTGTGAGATGATGGAATATCTGTGTAAGGATTTGAGACAGGATATGGGGTTTTGTAGAACATGAAAAGAATCAGAAATGACAAGAGGGCCATGTCTACGTGGGCAGGAGGTGCAACACATTTAGTACAGTGCTCACCTAGCACATTTATGGCTCTGGATTCAATACTCAGCATCATCCACACACAAAGAAATGAAAACAAAAACTAACAGTAAAATACCTAACTCAAAATTTTACATAGAGCAGTCCTTGTAAAAAGAGGAAACACATTTCTTCCTGTACTATCAGTTTCCTGGATCCTGACGTGAGAGAAATACTACCAAGTTCAAAATCTAATTCTTGAAAGTCTGAATTCAGACTAATATTACTTGTATTATAATTTACAGATTGGGATCAGCTCCTAGCCCTGTTTACATTTTAGATACTGTACAATATACTATGTTACAAACAGCTAACTTAAAATTTTAAATCTGGCATGTAAATCACGTACTTATAATTCACTTCTAGAGTTGAAGTACTACTAACCAAGCCTTATACGAAATCAATTTTCTTTTACTAAATTTCACCATAATATACATTTTTAAAAAATAAGAACTAGAGTTTTTGGGATAGCGCTTAGGAGAAGAGCATTTATCTAGCATGCATGAAACTCTAGGTTTGATCTCTAATACTGCAAAAGAAAATTTTACTTTATTATTTTTTTTAGAAAATTTTTAAAAAGCTAAAAAAATTTAGAAGTTTCAAATAGCTGAATAAAAGATTAATTTTAGTTTATAGTGAAGCTGTACTTTTAAAAGAAAAACATAATTATTTCTATAAAACACAGAATTATTGTACAATTGAAGCTTAAAAATATAAGGACCTGGGTTGGAACCCCAGTACCACATTTGGTGCTGGCCCCTGAGCCCTGGGTGTGCTGAGCCAGCCACTGGAACTGGGCCTGGTTGCGCATGCCTGTAATCCTGGCGCTGGGAGACTTAGACAGAGGGTCATATGAGTCCAAACTGCATAGTGAGATTCTGAACTAAATAAATGAAAGATTAAATAAAAAAATTTAAATTTAAACCTGAAATTAAACCTTCTGCAGATCTTGATTTTTATTTAAACTGCTATTTATAAAAGGTTTCCAAACTGCTAGGAAAGCTGGGCATGGAGGCATAGGCTTGCGATCTTAGAACTCAGGAGGCCGGTGCAGAAGAATGAGGTCAGCATGAACTACAGTGAGCGTGAGCCTGTCAGAACACACTAAACCAACCAACCAACCAATCAACAAAAAATTACCTGGAAAATAAATCACACCATCAGTATATAGCTCAGTGGCAGTATGTGTTCTTGGGCACACACAGGGCTTGGGTTCAGTCCAAGAGAAACGAAACAAACAAACAAACAAACAAACAAACAAAAAAAAAAATACTTTTAGTAGTAGAGAAAATTTAATACAAACCCTAACTCACCTGTAAATGGATCTGAAAAACTGGTGTTCCCAACTCCCAGCATCTGACCTTTTGTGTTATCGATAATAAATTTAGCTACTTGATCCAAAAACATGGGATTCAAATCATTCCTCTGCAAAAAGTTGTATGCAGTCATCCAGGGATCATCACTGATATTATATGGCAGTTTATATGTAGGCCCACCTTCATTGACATGAATTGAGAAGACATAATCGAATTCCTATAAAAGGAACATAAATGAAAGATAAATGATTACCAAACTGTCTATCCATATATATTAATAATATATATAACATGTTGAGTTCTTTATTTCAGTAATTACAGTACTTAAAAACTTTCTCCAAAGTACAATGCTAAAAGCTTTTCTCTTTGGCCAATAATGATTAGTATTAATCACTTACATGAGGTCATAAGGTTACTATTTCACTGGGGTGGGGTGAGATAGGAGTTGGAGTACAACTATTAATTCCACAGACAAAAGAGGGTTTCTAACTGATCTCACAGTACAAGAACCAGCTATGACAGTGCCTGTTCATTAAACCATGCTCACATAAACGCTGCCTGCAGGGTCTATCATGCCTTGAAAAGTTAAATAAGGTCAGGCATTAAGCACTAGATGAAAGATGACACAGAAGCTCCTAAAATGCTTAGGAAGTATGGGAACTCCTAAAAGGTAATACCTAATTGTTCTATTACACACAGCACTCTCAACATGGAAAGATTTTAAACGTTTGTTTATTTATTTATAAGACAGTCTATGTATATAAGTTCAGGTTGGCCTTGAACTCTCTATGTAATTCATGCTGGGCTTCAAGTAATGGGGATTATCTTGCCTCAGCTTCCTTACTACTGCTATTACAGGTATGTGCCACTATACCTGGCTGGAGAGATATTTCTTAACCTATTTTAAGATGGGAAAAAACAATAATTTCTCCATAGTAATATAAGTTTCCAAACACCAAGGAAACTTTTATCAGCACAGGGAAAAGAAAACCTTTAATTGTTTGAAATAATTAAAAAGCAGAAACTGACATACTTTTCCTTCATATAAAACTTTCCCAGATGTCTGCTGATGAGCACCGGATGAGCCCACAACATCACCAATCTTCATCCACCTCCCTTCACTGACACTCCACTGATAGGCTTCAACGTTTTCCCCATCTCTGATGAGACGAGTCTGTCCTTCTCTAGTACCTTAAACAAAAATTTTAAGAATGACACAGTAAAATTCAAAACATTTAGACAGAAAATTCCCAATATTAAAATTTATACATAAGCATCTATACATTTTGGTTTATAAGAAAATGTTATTAAAAGATTTTAAAATGTAATTCTACTACAAGGTAGAAGAAAATAATGGTTAAAAGGGAACGTTAATAAAGGAAAGTGACTCTACTAGAAAGTAACTGGCCCATCACAAATAAAACAAGTTTTATTAACAAATGTCTCTTGCTAACACATTTCACTTTCATAAACAGCGCTCTATTTTTCCAGTGGCTCTGGACCAATAGGTGAATCACCACCACAGTATATCAACATTCTCTTCACATGAGGCACAACAGTGAGTTCAAGTCCAATCTGGACTACACAGCAAGACCCTGTGCCCCCTACCCCCTAAAAAAGAAATCTACAAAAATATTTTTTCTTGAAACATCATGCTATTGTGGTACTATGTGTGCTGTACACTTAAATTAATGCTATTTAATGTTTCACCAAAGAGATTTTTACTGGCAAATGGCATTTTTCCAAAACTGACAACAGTAATAACTGCTTAAAGAATTTGGTGCCTCTGCCTTGATTTGTGTACTGAACAGTCAGCAGTTTTACCTAATACTGCTTCTGTACCAGTAAGTACAAACCTTACACAATATAAAAAGTCAAATAACTGCTAATATTATAGTATTAGTGTTGACCTCATGAACATTGGAAAAGGAACCTCACGGACCAAGTCTTGTAGAGCACTGATACAGTGGGTCAGGTATACATTCACAAGATTTCACTCAAATGAACTTTGTTCTCTGATTTCAAACTCATATGATTCTAACTCATTAAGCAGACTTTATTAACTCATTCTCATGTTTAATCTTTAGTCTTTCAGAAAATCTCAAAACAGATGACTGACTCCTGAGTAATTCCTATTTTTGAGCTTAGTGTTGGGAAATTTATTAGAAAGAAAAATTTGTTTATAGGAAACTTTATTCAAAGTTTAAACTATGAAACAAAAATCAACAACATGGTCTCTTATAGCAGATAGGTGTGATAGTAAAAATACTCAAAAATAAGTATCTGGCAATAACAATGAAATGCTAGCAAAATAACATTTTTTCTTCCTTATCACTCTTAGCATTCCAAAAGGCCAAGTTGGTGGCCTTTTTAACTATTACATGCAGTAAAATATTTACCAGGTTCATTCAGATGTTCCCTCCCAGGAAGCTGTTCAACATTAATGTCCCCTAGATCACCAGTTTTGGAATCAATGGTTGCTTGAGAGAGCTCTTTTTCAAAAGCCTTGATTTCCTCAGCACTTGCTGTACGATCTGCTGATTCTGTAAACACTCTAATAATACCATCACTATAAGAAAAATGATTTTAAGCATCATTACCATAGTGTAATCACATTCTCTCACCTGAATGATCTAAAGCAAAATCAATCTATATTTGAGAATATAAGAAATGTACCTAACTATTGCTGAGTATAACATTATGCTGACATTAACACACTTAATTATTTCTGCTATTTGAAGAAATTACTAGCAAAGGACAGAGAAATACATATTTAATACAATTATCAACATTTTATTTTATTGGGGGCCCTGCCCCTTAGCTCAGTTCTTTAAGTGGCTGCTTCAACAAAGCAGTCAGGCTCAGGTTGCTGTGGTTCGATCCCCAGAACTCAAGCCAGCCAAGCCTGCCCTGAAGGCATTCGGAGCAAAAAAAAAAAAAAAAAATTATTTTATTTTATTTTATTTTATTTTAGGGGAGGGTCTACAGGGTATCACTACTAGATCTGATTTGTAGCGATTCTCCTGTTTACAGCCTCCCAAGAGCTGGGATTACAGGTGCGATGCACGTCACCACACCCAGTCTCAATCACCATGTCAGCATGCCCCAGGGGCAGGGCCAGCATGTCAGGCCCGGGGATCAAACCTGGGTCCCTGAGCCCGCTTACAGGCACTTTAATCCGTTGAGCTATTTGGCCGGCCCTTATAATTATCAATTTAAAGGTTATTAATATGATAACCATCTGGACATATACTATTTACTTTTAAGTCACTGTTACATGGGTATTATAGAATAGAAAGTCAGTGGAATGGTTTATAGACAGCATATCTGTTCTTTCAAAGAAAAAAAATGGCTTCATCATTAGACTGGACTGTAGTCCTTAATCTCTATTGTCTTAAAGATTATTACATTTTCACTATTTCTTAATCCTAAATTTTGAAGTAGAAGAGTCAATTTAGCCACTTTCAACTGTATAAATCCTACTCAATTCAACAGAATACTATTTTATTTAACTTTCTATAAATATCAATTGGAGCAGGTGGCAAGATAGCTCAGTGGTCAAGCACCTGCTTAGGCAAGTGTAGGGTCTGGTTCAACTCCTGGCACCACATGCCATGCCAGCCCCACCCCCAGGGCAGGCTAAGCCAGCCACAAAAATAATATCAGTTAGTTTATTTTTCTTCAACTTCTAACACCTGGGGGAAACAGGACTCAAGTCAACAAAACAACCCCTGCCTCAGCTAAAAAATAAAATCCCTTTTACTTTATTAGACATTGTACTCCTTATAGCCAACCCTTTCTTTTTCTGTTTCCAATGCCAGGGCAGCTTATCAGAATCCTTTTCTTCATCCAATTTGTTAAGCAGCCCTTTATCATCTCTTATTTACCATCTACCACAATGTGATGTCAAATGACTAATAACACCTTTTAAGCAAAATCTAAATGCTTCCTGAACTGTCTACTCCTTGATTTCCTCAGGCATTTTTGACCCTGATGAATTTCCCTTTAAGGCTTCTCCTTTTCCATCTCCTTGAATTGTGAGCACTGAACTTTGTACTGTTCAGCCTACTGACCATTCTTCACCCACAGTACAGTACAGTATTAAATTTTTAATGTTCTCTTAACTACATCTAATCCCTCAAAAAAAGGTGTCTAAGGTTTATGGTATTTGTGTATAAATCTTTTCCTTAGACTCAGTTTGAGCACTAGGCTCCAGTCCAACTACTTAAAATGCACTCATCGACTGGACTATAAATACCTTGCACCAACCACAATGTCACCATTGTCTAGCACACAGCAGCACCATATGGACTGAGCTGGAAGTCGGATTGTTTGAGCACACTCCCCATGTTTCCATATCCTCAGAGATCTGTCTTCTCCTGTTGTTGCAAAATCTAAAATGAATGAAAAATAAGTAATTTATAAATACCATTGTTGTACATAATGATAATTTTAAACCTCAGTGTTTTAAATTTTTATTTTTGCCATTTGCATACAATTTTAAAAATCCCATTTTTATTTTATATATTATATCATTAAATTACTTTACTCAGATACTCATGAAAATTTTTATAGCTAATCTAAATTAATATAAAAATGGTGATACAATTTTTCCCATTATAGAAAAGGTATATAGGAAATAAAGTTGCTAAATTATTCGATCATAACAGAAAACTGATTTAAATAATGCGCCCTCCTCCCCTTGTCCCAAGAATGTGATGGAATGATGCACAAAACAAACTTTAACACACAAAATAATCTTACCTCTGCAATTTGGAAAAATAGATATGCTATAAATATAATTTGTATGTCCATAATACACCTCAAGACACTCTCCAGTGATCTGCCACTTTCTAATACTAGCATCATTTGCACAGGAAAGAAATTGTGTTTCACTCAAAATTGCCAAACCTCTTACACAGTCTTCATGCCCTACATTTAAAAAAGAACAATGTAAATCAATAAAATATATAATTTGTTGGATAACTTTATGTATTTTAGTAACATTAAAAATTATTATCTGTGAATAGTAAAAAATGATTTTTTTCTTTTTGCGGCACCAGGGATTGAACTCAGGACCTTGCACTTGCCAGGCAAGCGCTTATTCTACTGAGCTATCTCCCCAGTCCCTAAAAACTGGTTTTTTAAGTTCGGTAAATTTTATCTTTGTTTACTGGTAAATGAAATTTGTATTTCAGGCTTGACAACATCTCTCTTTTTTTTTTTTTTTCCCGGAACCGGGGATTGAACTCAGGCCCTTGCACTTGCCAGGGAAGTGCTTATTCCACAGAGCCATCTCCCCGGCCCCTAGACAACATCTCTTACTCCCAGTCCTGAGAAGTTATTTAGAATTATTATCTTTTCAAAAGTTTTTTTTCCCTAAAACCTTCTAGAGACAGTATTTTGACCTTAACAATTCTTCATTGTCATGTAACAATTCATTTTCAATTTAGATTTCCCAATAAAAGGGTAATTCACAAAAATGTAACATTAAAAAGTAACAGGACTATAAAATAAAGAGTAAATATTGCCTAAGTATAAGTACAAAAATTCTCCAAAACTTTCAATCCTATAAAGGAGATGAGAAGTCAAAACTTTCCCATGCTTGCTGTGTGCTGTGGTACAATCCCAGGAGGATTACAATTTCAAGGCTGGCCTGAGCAATTTAGCAATTTTTGAAAAAAAAAAAAATGAGGTAGTAGACAGCCACTGACTAAGACTAAGAGCTTGCTTAGGCAAGTGCAGGGACCAGGGTTTGATTTCCAGCACTGCATGTCATGCTGGCCCTGCCCCCAAGCTCACTGAGCTGGCCACGGAGCCTAGATGTGGTGGCACACACCTGTAATCCCAGTGTTGGGAAGGCTGAAAACAGGAGGATCACTATGAGCTCAAGCTATGTAGTGAGACCCTGTACCAAATACATAAAAAAAAAAAAAAAAAAGAAAAAAGGAGTGGGAGAACGAAGTATTTGCTAAGTACGTAGGAGGCCCTAGATTCAATCCTTAGTACCATTAAAATATTTCCCTGTTCTCAGCATCTGTTGACTTAGTTACCCGAAATGACTTGATAGCAACTGATCAACTAATTGACAGAATTTACTGGAAGAAACAGTAAGAAGCTTAATTACAGCACATTATCTATTTTCCATCTATAGATACTTTTTTCTGCACAAAAGTACTTCCTGGAGTATTATACAGGCTGTAGTCAACTTTTAAGGACAAAATAAATTGAGGGAAAGAACAATAAGAAAACTTACACCAAACTGGACATGGTGGTGCAAACCTGTAATCCTAGCATGCTAGGAGGCTTAGGCATGAGGCAAGATTGCAACTTTAAGCCTCATCTGAGTAATTCGGTAAAACCCTGTCTCAAAAAATAAATAAGGGCTGGGAATATAGATCACTGTAAAGGTCTTGGGTTCAATTCCTAGTACATACATACACACCTAACACCAACAATAAAAGTGTCCAATAAACAATTCAGTAATATTAATATTAATATTAGCACAGGGGCTAGGGATATAGCTCAGTGGTAACGCATGTGCAAGGTCCTGGGTTCAGTCCCCAGTGCACACGCATGCATACACACACACACACACACACACACACACACACACAAAATTGATCTGCGGATGGCTCAGCATACTATTTTTTAACAGCTAGAGTTTTAAACAAATTCCTACCACAAAACCACATTAACAAAGCCCAAAATGAGCTATTAATAAATGATACATTTTAAAGGTAGCAATGATGTTTTCTTCTAGTTATGAAGCTAAAATACCAATGACCCACTATTAGTAAGGTTTATGCTTGAATTTTCAGCTTGAATATATTAAAATGACAATCAAAAGTACAAATACACACTAAAGTTGCATAATATAAAGAAAAAAATACATATATGCATGTCTATTTGACAGTTATTTGTTAGTGCACACCAGCTGTTTCTATTTGGTCTCATAATAACTTTTAAAAAGGTATATAATCTTTTTTAGACAAACCAAATGTACCCAAATTAACTATTTCAACTGTATTGATGTTTTCCAAATACTCCTTTTTTCTTTGGCATAGCAGACGTAACCCAGGGCCTCCACACTAAGCTGTATCCCTTAACCTTTTTAACTTTTCTACTTTCAAACAGTCTCATTAAATTGCCTAGGGTGGGTTAGAAAGTGAGATCTTGCTGCCTAAGGCTTCCAGGGTTCTAGGATTTTTTTTTTTTTCAACAAATAATACACTGCATATATTCTTCTTAGTGGTTAATTGCTGTACAAGATGCGGACTTGTGATCCTATTTACAAACACCATTAGAACAAATCATTCTATTCATTAACAGAATGTAACTATATATCTATCCCAACCACTTTGAATACACAGATACAAAATGGACATTCATCTGTATACCCCATTTTTCTAAGTTCCGTTATTGAATATTATAGGTGTGATAAGGATTTTTTTTTTTTTTTTTTTGCTTTCCTCCGAATGCCCTCAGGGCTTGTGTGTCTGGCTGGAGAGTTGTGGGGATCGAACTAGAGCCACCTGAGGCTGACAGCTTGGTGGAAGCAGCCACTTAAAGAACTGAGCTAGGGCCAGGTCCCCGAGGGTTCTAGGATTACAGGTATATGCCACCACACTCAGCTTCAAATATCATTTTCAAACATCTTTCTAGAAAAAAAATCTGAACAAATAAGTGCTGATTATAAAAGCTGTATATATGATCTTACCTGAAAAAGTTCTCTCACATCTTCCAGCTTTCCACAGTTTAATAGTCTTGTCTGCTGATCCAGTTAACATTAAGCCCTGTTCAGGTAAAATCTTTACTGCCCATACTGCAGCTGTATGACCCTATGAGTACAGCAGGCATTAAATTAAATTGTCACAGAATTATGACACTCCTTTAATATATAGAATACTAGCAATTAATATTGTACCTGTAAGGTCATCATGCATTTGTCATTCAGCCAGACTTTAGCAGTGGTGTCCCATGAGCCACTAAGTAATGTCCCAAATTTTCCAGATGAAAGACTACAAACTAGGAGGAAAAAAGTCCTTGGTTAATGTATTTTCATGTAGAAAAATATTCAACCTTGTAAATAATAAAATTATTGCAATTTCTAAAAAGAAAAAAAGAACCCTTTGTGAAGTGACAATATCTCAGACATGTAAGAATGAACTCAATGGAGACATAGAAGAATATAGTAAACAAGGACATACGGTCTGGTGCCATAATGCCTGGGTGCAAGGCAGACCTGTATCACCTATAACCAGCTTGATCAAAGGGTTAATATGGAACTTCTGACCCATACATAGTCTGTAAAAGGAGTTAGCCAACAGGACTAAGTAGGCTGCATGATCCCTTCTGTCTGTAAGGCACAATAGGAAAATAAAAAACAAGATTTTGAAATCCTGTTCATACAGATAGATCAGATCACTTTCATTAAAACAACACACATACCAAAACTAGGAACTAAGATCAACACTAAACAGTAATGGAAGAGCTAAATACCTTTGAATGTTGATATGAAACTATGTAAGCTCACATTATAAATATGAAAAATTACCTTAGAATAGAGTACTCCAGAAAAGTCAAAGCGGAGCCACAAAGAACAATGAACTGGGAGCCTAGTTCTTGAGACCAGAGGGATTTGATCGCAAGTCTCCCGGTCTCAAGAGCCACTCACTTGAATTTCAGAATGGTTATAGAAAGAAACTGCTGTCTTGCACTACTTCCTTTTCTGAACGAGAATTTTTACTGATTATCCTACTCTTTTTCCACAACCGTATATTGGGTATGGGTGACATATGCATATTCACATTTAGCCCACTGATTGCCTAGATTCTTAACTTTAAACCTCATGTTGCGACTGGATGAGAATTTTGGATTGTTCAATGTTGAGAGAAAAGTAGGCTTATTTTACCTGTAGGAGAAAAAACAAGTTGAAAAATTGGTGACCAAAAATACTTTTCTCCTCTTTTTGAAGTTAGGCAAAGGGATACTGGCTTTAGTCAGTAGATGAAATGGTAGCTTCTACTTCAAAAGTCTATGCTTTTAAGGGCCATTGTACTGCTAACAACACTGCCCTTTTGTTGCTACATTAACAACTAAAGCACATGTAGACATTTAGTCCCTATCTGCCTGAGTCCTTGAAAATAACCTGAAAAATGTCCCCTAATTCATCTTAAATACCTAGGGTAAATGAGAAATGCTCTTCTGTTACACTGACATCTGATAATTGTTATCTACAATAATCCAGTTTATCCCTATTTACATGTTGCAATATTTGAAAACATGTTTCAGGATACAAAACCAACACACCAATTAGTGCATTACTATACAACAATAATAAACCTACAAAGAAAGAAACCAAGAAAACGATTCCATTCAGAGTAGTTTCAAAAATAAAGTGAGTACACAGATAGCAGTATTATTACTAAGGAAGTGAAAGGCCTCTATAATAAACACTATAGCACTCTGAAGAAATTGAAGAGAACATTAGAAAATGGAAAGACATCCTTTGTTCTTGGATCAGCAGAATTAATGTCAAAACAGCCATAATACTAAACGTGATCTATCAGTTCAGTGAAATCTCTATTAAAATATCAATAACATCCTTCACAGAACTAGGAAAAAAAAAAAACCCTAAAATTCATGTGGAACTAGAAGAGACCCAAAATAGCCAAAGCAATCCTGAACAAAAAGAGTAAAGTAGGATGCTTAACAACTCTGGATTTCAAGTAACTCTACAAAGCTCTGTAACAAAAACAGCATAGCATTAACACAAAAACAGAAACATAGATCAATGAAATGGAACTAAAGACACAAAAACAACCCTATGCACCGTTCGACTTGACAAAAGGGTTAAAAACATACACTGGAGAACAGAGAGCTGCTTTAATAAATGGAACTAGGAACACTGGCTATCCGTGTACAGAAGAATCAAATTAGATCCACAGCTCTGACCCTATTCTAAAATCAAATCAGAATGGATCAAAGACCTAGAACATTAGCTAGGTGTGGAGGCACAGGCCTGTAATCCCAGCATTCAGGGAGGCTGAGGCAGAAGGATTACAGGTTTAACCCAACCTGGGCAAGAACGAATTACAGGGCTGGTGAGGGTGGTAGTGGTGGGATGCAGGACTAGGGAAAGGGATTGCTGTGGCCTGGGTTACTCTCTAGTACAGTAATCAATCAACAATTATTTAAAACTAAACAAAATCCCCCAGAAACTTTGCCAATAACAGGAAAACACTTGAAGCACCAATAAGAGCTTCCTGAATAGAATTCCAACAGCTCAGGAAATACTATCAAGCACCAATAAATGGGGGCTGGGGAGATAGCTTGGTGGTCTAAGTGCTTGCCTGGCAAGCACAAGGACCAGGTCTGACCCCCTGTACTGCATGCCATGCCAGCCCCAGAATGCCAAGCCGACCACTGAAACCAGCAGTAGGGAGGCTGAGACAGGAGGATCACTACAAGTCTGAGCTGCATAGTTAAACCCTGTACCAAACAAATAAACAGAAGATTCAATACTCATTTGCTAGAAGACTAGTATCTAGACTACATAAAGAACAAAAACACACCTCCATGACCTAATTTAAAACAATGGCCAAATGAACTGACTAGATACTTCTCAAAATAGGAAGTTCAAATGGCCAATAAGTAAATGAAAAATGTTTGGCATCTTTAGCCATTAGAAAAATGTACATTGAGGGCCAGCCAGATAGCTCACCAGATTAAAGCGCCTGCCTAGGCAGATTCAGGTACCAGGGTTTGATCCCTGGTGTGCTGGGCTGGTCCCGCCCCTGGGGTGCACTGAGATGGCAAATGATCCTGGGCATGGTGGCACACGCCTATAATCCCAGCACTTGGAAGGCTGAAAACAGGACGATCACTATGAGTCTGATCAGTGTAGTGAGACCCTGTAGACCCTGTACTAACTACATTTTTTTTTTAAATTGCACATTGAAACAACTACGATTCTGTATTATTCCAGTCAGAATGAACATAAAAAAAACCAACAAATGATGGCAAAGTATGGGGAATAAATTCTTGCTGGAAATGTACACTAGTACACAAAAATTCTATTTGAAACAGCTATACCTCTCCTGGACAAAATATTCCCAAAAGAGTTAAAAGCGTATTACAGTGATACACAAATACCCATTTTTAAAGCAGTATAATTCACAATTTCTAATCTCTGGAAACAGCATGAATGCCTCTCAACAGGTGAATGGACACAGACAATGTGATATACATGATATATATATAACTCAGCTATAGAGAAGAATAAAATCGTGTCATTGGGCCGGGGAGATGGCTCAGTCAAATAAGCGCTTCCCTGGCAAGCTCAAGGGCCTGAGTTCAATCACTGGTTCCGCTAAAAAAAAAAAAAAAAAATCATGTCATTTGTAGGAAAAGATAAAACTAGACAACATAATGTTAAATGAAATGTCAGACAGAGAAAGTTAAATAATGCATGGTTTCTCTTACATAAGAAACTAAAATATTAAACCAATAAATGAATTATAAAAAGCCGATTTGGTAGGAAACAAGAAGGCAAACTTTCTGGAGATAGAGAAGGAGGCTGGGGGAAGAGAAAAGTAAGAAACGTAAGTAAAGAGATCAAAACTGATCATATTATAAAGAGGCTTTTTTTTTTTTCCCTGGCTCAGGATGCCTTAAGGGTAGGTCTGGTAAGGCATGAGGATCTGGGGATCAAACCACAGTATCCTGAGCCTGACTGCTTTGCTTAAGCAGGCACTTAAACGACTGAGCTAATGGGCAGGCCCACTGATCATATTGTAAGTATGTACCAATTGCCCACATAAATGTCGCTATTATGTACTTATACACAATAGAAGTGTTCTACAGACCTACTGAAATATATGCAAAAAATTATCAACAGTTAATACAGTCATGAGAAACAAAGGGGACCACTGAATTTAGGAAAAATAATTCTTTCTTTGATAAGAATGTACTTTTAAAATTGTAAGTGAATTATAATTACATTTAAATTAGCAGTTTTGTTTCCCATTTCATTCCAGAAAAAATTTCAAAATGACTACCATAAATGTGTATGATAAAAAATGCATGGAAAAGCAGGGAAAAAGGAAAATCAGAATATGTAGAGCATAATATGAAGTCATGAACATGTACTACTTTGGAAACTGTAAAAGCAGAAGATGAAGCTTTACTGAGTAATATTAGCTAAGTTATCAAATACCACGTATCAAACACTATAAACATGTATTCTTCGCAACAATCTCAAGAGATTAGATGTTATTATTCCACTTGACACATGAGAAGATTCAAAGACCCTATCTACAAATATGTAAGTAAAAAACGTTGGGGACATAGAAGGCACATCCTATGTGAAGGCACTGGGTTGAATTCCCAGCACCCCCACTGGTACTTTAAAATGTATATTTTTTTTTTTTTGGTGGAACCGGGGATTGAACTCCAGCCCTTGAGCTTGCCAGGTAAGCGCTTATTCTACTGAGCCATCTCCCCAGCCCCAATATTTTTATTTTTTTTATTTATTTTTGGTACTGGGGATCAAACTCAGGACATTGTGCTTGCCAGGCAGGCGCTTATACCACTGGGCTATTTCCCCAGCCCTAAAATAATATCGAAGTAGAAGGAGGAAGAAAACAGCACATGTGCTGATAAATTAAAACTATGTAAACTCATGAGTGGAAGGAATCATTACATTATTCTCTTCATTATATGTTTAACAACACATTGTAATACACTAAGTATCTACTTTTATACATATATGAAGACTTCCATATAAAAATTTTAATTTCCATCACACTCAAGTTGGGTGTGGTGTCACATGCCTGTTGTCCCAAGCTAAGAGAGGAGGACTGCCATAAGTTTAAGCCTAGCCTGGGCTATATTCTAAGTTCAAGGCCAGGCTGAACTACACAGCAAGGCAATGTCTCAAAAAACTAATAATTAATTAATTAATAAAATTTGTGTAACTGTACTAAAAATTTAACACACATTTTACCAGTTCTTCAAGTTTATGGGTCATGTCCCAAATTATTCCAGATAGACACAGATACATAGATATCTTTATATAGCCCACAAAAATTCTGGCTTTTTTTTTTTTTTTT